TCCTGTTCAACAAATGGAAAGGAGACGTAACTTTGTGCTCTACGTCTGACGTTGTGAATGGCTTAATTCACTTATGGGGGGAATAAATTTTTCTCATTTGGCTGTTATTTTATGGCATCCAGGTAAGCCGGTTTTTATAACAATTTCAGTTTTTTGCCTTTGGACTCAAATATAAACTTATTACGAAAGGTTCTAAGCCATATAAATCCATCAAAACTTATGGTACAAACAGCAAATATACTATTTTAGACCTTTGGTACATGTGCAATGTTATATACTCAAACAGTCAAACTTTATCATTTTTCTTGACTTGTGTGGGGGAAGGAATTAAATTCCTGGCAAAGTCAATCTTTGAGTTTGGTCTATTTTGTTTTCATGATAGCAAACAATAATGTAAATAGGTAAACCTTCCCCCCAGTGAGTCTATTAGATTCAAGCAATAATTAACATGATCTAACTGACAAAAGTGCTGAGTGGGTGCTGATACAAAGTAATATGATTTTTGCTGCAAACAGTGTAAATTTCAATCTCTGATGATGCCATGATGGTGACTGTTAAAACCTAGTTAATATATTATCTTGTTTGTCTTGTCAAATTCAAATCAATTATCATGGCTTATATTAATTGATTTTTTAACTTCTTGCAGCTTGTGAATAAATCTTGATCAGATCTCCATTTATATTTTTCAGGATGAAGATGCTATGAAATAAAGCAAGCTAGAGATGGCTTATTAATTAATGAAATAAAGCAAGCTGGAGATGGCTTATTAATTAATGAAATAAAGCAAGCTAGAGATGGCTTATTAATTAATTGTCATGCAATTTGTTAAAACATTGAACTGAGATGTATTAAGCATATTATACACATTGTTATGAATCTACATTGTTATCCTTAATTACCATGATATCTGATTTTGTTTTTGGCTGTTATTTTTATAACCATTGTTATATTTATAAAAGAAATAAATATAAACATGCATTGTGTGAGCAGTGTATCTTCAATCTGCAGCCAGTTTTATAATTTTCTGTTTATGGTATCAAACTTCAAATTCAATGGGCTAATCAGGAGTAATTGAGTCCATGGAGGGATGAATATTATTTATTATTAAGACCAGGGGTGCAATTAAATAATATTGAAAACTTTTATAGCCCATTGAGGTACAATTAAGCTGATGACCTTAATGAAAAGTATATTATGCAAATATGACTCTTGGTTGAAGCTATATTCTTGCACTTAGTCAGCTGTCAAGCATCTTGCCCCTGAGCTTTGGCCTCTGTTTCTTTGGATTATACCTAGATATATTGTCCTCAAGACATTCAAGAAAACATTATTAATTGCATACTTTCAGTATTCTGCAGTTCATGCAGGGTTCAAAAAAGTCTAATTGATGTCCATAAATATCCAGTTGTCCCCAAAATGTCCGACAATAATAGTGCTAAAAAGTTCAAGCATTTGTTATAGGAATGTATAAATAATGAAAATATAAAAAAAAACCACCTGTAAGTTCGTGTCAGAATTAAAATCTTCAATTTTGTCCACAATTTTTTGACGTTTTAACATATATTTGTTCTTGCGTTGGCAATAACAGCGTCTACGACTTGTATTCATTTAAAAAAAACGCTTTATGTTTCAAAAAAAAGCAATAAATGATGTTTTCACGACTTTATATTTCAAAAAAAAACAAAACCAGTTTTCACGGGAAATTTTTTTTTTTTTAAAGGCCAGGGGGAGAACCTGTTGTTTACTAAATCCAGGGGGGAGAAAACCCTTGTAGGGGGCTCATATTTGAGCCTGGTCAGTGGTCAATACCATGGCCAAAAGGAGCCATGTGGCGTCAGCAGAGCTTCTGCGATTGCGCAGAAGGGCGAAGTCCACCATGTTTTTGCGGACAAAAAGATGGCGGCGAAGTTACCGAAAAATAACGAGCCGGTCCTCCAGGAATTATTATATAGCTCAGTGATTTCTGGGGTAAAATCACTGATCTGAAATAAGACTGGATAAGGCATCTATAGAAGAGGGCAAAAGTGAAGCCGGAAGTGATCGGCCGCCACCCGATTCAAAGGCCCTACTTTCTATAATTTAATATAGATTTCTATTACAGAACCGAAGTTTTTTGCGTTTTTTTACCTTGTCCACGTTTCTGCCCGGGCCAATTTTACAATCACAAACATAGAAGCATACAAGAAGAAATTTGGGCAAAAAATTTGGAATATTTTGGCTTCATAACGCTGCGAAAACGGATTTTACAACTTCGGACATCGTTTTATATCAACACCACTCATAGCGAGCTTGTTTTGATATTTTGCTACAAAATCAACTGAAAATATAGAATTTCTGCTCTTGGACAAATATTCTCAGAAAACCTGAAGAAACGAAGCGGCTTTATTGCGAACAGCAGTGTACCGAGAGGTTAGTTTTCAAAACACTGTCTAGTATCCTCAGAGGATACTAGCTTCTAGCCTTCTACTATAATTATTATTGATGGTTAAAGAGAACAATTCAGTTCATTCCTATGTTTCCAATACAACAACACCTTGTAATATGTTTGACTAGGTTGTGAATGTGATTATATTCTGCTAGTGTGTCAAACATGAAACTTTGTGTTGGTTTAAGAATTCAAGGCTGCCCTAGTATTTTAATTGGAATAACTTTGTAGTTGGTGCATCCAAAGTAGAACTAAGAGCAATCACAGCTAATAGAATATTATGTATATTCTTTGGAGACCACATAAAACTACAATACAACTCACTAACTATGTTGAGGTAGATTTATGCAAAAAATTGTTCCTTTCTCATCACATGTCTATTGTATTTTCCACAGATGAACCAATAGCAATCTTATAATTAACATATTTTTCAAGTCAAGGTTGAGAAGCTTAGCAAGATGAATGCCATTGGTAAATTTGGCTATTTTTTAAGGAACCAGGCTATATCATCTTAGATGCCTGTGAAAACATAGGAAAGAACTGAATTGTTCTCTTTAACCATCAATAATAATTATAGTAGAAGCTAGTATCCTCAGTGTTTTGAAAACTAACCTCTCGGTACACTGCTGTTCGCAAATATGCCGCTTCGTTTCTTCAGATTTTCTGAGAATATTTGTCTAAGAACAGAAATTCTATATTTTCAGTTGATTTTGTAGCAAAATATTAAAACGAGCTCACTTTGAGTGGTGTTGATATAAAACAAAATCCGTTTTCACGGCGTTATGAAGCCAAAATATTCCAAAGTAACATTTTTTGAAGCAAAAAACATGGCCGACTTTGCCTTCTGCGCAGATGTTTTGCTGACGCCATACGGTCGCCTTTGGCCATAGTAATTACCACTGACCAGGCTCAAATCTGAGCCCACTATGAGGGTTGCTCCCCCCTGGTTAATCTAAACAACAGTATTTCCCCCTTGGTTTTGTATGAATATTTTTGTTTTTGCTGTGAAACCTTGTTGTTTTGTATTTTTCGATTTATTTTTCTGCCACATAAGCTAGCAATAAGGCGTTTATTTCAATTATATACAAGTCGTTGCCGCTGTTTTGCCAATGCCAGAAATAATAAATATTAAAACGTAAAAAAAAATGTGGACAAGGATTTTTATACAATTAGCTGACAGGTTATTTTATTTATTTATTTATTTTCTTTTCATGCATTTCTGTAAAAAATTTTTAAAATACTTGAATACTTTTTGAGTCTTGTCCGAAATTTAGCTTATCTTTCGGATATCAATCGCCGACTAAAGGTTACCGGCAGAAAATATGTGGTCATGTGATGTTTTCCTTAGAACATCATGCTTATCAGCCCATGCATAACTCAAGGAAACAAAGACCAAACCTCATGCAAGATGCTGGGCGGCTGATTAGCAATAGTACTTCAAGTCATATTCGCATAGGATATTTTCATTTAGGTCATTATAGCTATAAGTTCCCCATATCTTACTGTATCCCAAGTAATGCACTTTCAAATGGTTCCCTGCTTGACTCAAGGATTTGATATGGAATCATATTCCAGATAATGCAGGGAAAAGATTGTAAATAAAATTTTATTATATATGGTACCCAGAAGATTATGGTACTAGTTGTGCTATCAACAAATGTCTTATGTGTAACGTTATCTACATAGGTGCCCTGTGTAACTCGTGCCCTGTGCATGATGGGTAATGTAGTTAGGTATAAATATTAGCTTGTTGTAAATAATCTCTCTCACTTCTTCTGTATTAAATTGTACTCAATACACGAGTTTGGATGCAATAATATGACATGGTGTCAGGTGTGGAGAAACTTTAGCTTCTCAAAGAAAAGAGATATCAAAAAGCTAAAGTATAAACGCTGATAAAGCGAATAATCTCTAGAAGGAATCGAGTCCTGAAGTGCATTAATTATGGCGACACGAAGGCAGAAAGAACAACAAGAAAATGAAAGCCCAACAGGTCCATCAACTCAGCAGATTTTTACATCTAATGTACCGCTCCCACAGCCAATAAGTCTAACAGGCAATTTAGCGAAAATTGGAAGAACTGGCGTTCAGACTTGGCAAGCATATGAAGTAATCACAAACCTCGCCGAACGCGACCAAAAATATTGAGTTGCTACGTTTATCACATGTATTGGTCCTGAAGCCATGGAAATTCATAATGGTTTACCTTTCCGAAATGACGAGGAAAGACAAGACATTACGAAGATAATAGAACTATGGAACAATTACTGCATAGGTAAGACAAATCCTATTTATGAGCGGTACAAATTTCACAACAGATTTCAACAACAAGGAGAGACAATAGACACATATGCGACAGTCATTCGTACTTTAGCTGACACATGCGAATTTGGAGCCCTTAAGGAGGAGTTAGTTAGAGACAGAATAGTATGCGGAATACGTGACAATACTTTGCAGAAGAAATTGCTACAAGAAACCAGTTTAACCTTAGAAAAATGTTTAAACATATGCAGAGCAGCCGAAGCAGCAAACAATCAACAGAAGCAAATATCGCACAACACTTCAGAGTCTACACATGCACTCAAACCAAAAGGGAAGCCCCAATTCAATAGCCAAAGAAAACCGAAGTTACCATGTCCTGATTGTAAATATTGTGGCAGGGCGACATGAGCATAAGAAAGAAAAATGTCCAGCCTACAATAAAACGTGCAATAACTGCTCAATGAAACATCACTTTAGTTCTGTTTGTCAGCAACCAAAAAGACAAGAAAGAGGGCCAAAGACAATACAAACTGGCAGATCTAAAACACACCAAGTTCATGAGGAAACTGATCAGTCCACTGATGATGAGATTTGGTCAATTACAGAACGAGTAAGTACAGTCCCGGGGAGGAATTGTGTATGTGCAGGTATACAATTGGGCGACCAGATAATACAGATGCAAATTGACACTGGTGCAACATGCAATGTATTACAGCATTCCTATTTGCCTAACGATGTCAAGGTCCAGCCAACCAATAGAAATTTATTTACCTATTCTGAGTCAAAGCTTGAAGTACTAGGCAAGGCAATGTTGAACATTAGTAACCCAAAGAACAATTGTAAGTACTTTGAAGAATTTTTGATTGTTAAAGATGGGTCCATTCCCCTGTTAGGAGTTAAAACAGCTCAAAAGATGGAACTGTTAGTCATTCGACACCAAAATATCTTACATATGGATTGTAGTAATGCAGTAACATCTCGGGAGCAGCAGAGATTAAGTAAAGAGGATGTATTGTCAAAGTATGCAGATCTATTTACAGGTTTGGGTAAGATTGAAGGCAAACTTCATCTAGACGTGGATGAAACAGTGACTCCAGTTGTGATGCCACCTCGCCGTGTCCCAATTGCTGTGAAACCCAAGTTAAAAGAAGAGCTTGATCGCCTTGAAGCCCTTAATGTCTTAGTGAAAGAAGAGAAACCAACAGCATGGGTGTCTGGGTTTGTAGCATCTGCAAAGCCAAATGGAAAAGTAAGGGTATGTATTGACCCACAGCATCTAAATACCGCACTGAAGCGTAGACATTATCCCCTTCCAGTTGTTGAGGAGATACTCCCAGAGTTAGACAAAGCAAAGTTTTTCACAAAGGCTGATCTCAAAGATGGGTATCTACAGATCCAGTTGGATGAAGATTCTAGCAAGCTTACTACGTTTCAGACACCATGGGGTAGGTATTGCTGGCTCCGCATGCCCTATGGAATTTGCCCAGCTTCCGAGTGCTTTCAGCAGCAGCTTGATCAATGCCTTGAAGGATTGCCAGGGGTGTATAAGATAGCTGATGATTTACTCATCATCGGAAAGGGAAACACCGATGAAGAGGAAGAGTGTGACCACGACCAACATCTGACAATGCTGTTTGAACGATGTCGAGCAAAGAATGTCAAGTTAAACAAGGATAAGCTGATTTTCAAATCCAGGGAAGTGTCCTTTATTGGCCACCTAATCACAAGAGAAGGGTTGAAACCAGATCCTAGAAAAGTGGAAGCGATCCAGAAAATGAAGCGACCGAATGATGTTCCAGCAGTATTGCGATTCCTTGGTCTTGTGAAGTACCTGTCAAAATTCCTGAACGATTTATCTGGAATGAGCGAGCCTTAGCGTTGGCTGACACACAAGGATGCAGAATGGAATTGGACAGAAGAGCAAGAGGATGCCTTCGAGCGTATAAAGGAAGCAGTTGTTAAAGCTCCAGTTCTGAAGTATTTCAGCGATACTGATGCAACTGAGGGACAGGGAGATGCTTCACAGAATGGTCTCGGGTTTGCTCTCATGCAGAATGGACAACCTGTGACATATGCAAGCCGGGCTCTGACTTCGGCAGAGCAGCGATATTCACAGATTGAGAAAGAGCTGTTTTGACAAGTGTTTGGTATGGAACATAATCATCAGTATGTGTGTGGTCGTAAGGTTATTTTATGGACCGATCACAAGCCGCTTGTCTCCATGTCGCAGAAACCACTAGTCACAGCGCCAAAGAGACTCCAGCGGTTACTTTTGCGGTTACAACAGTATGACTATGAAATTCGCTACAAGCCTGGCAGAGATATGGTCGTTGCTGATACGTTATCTCGAGCATATCTAGAAGACCACATACCTACTAAAACTGAAGTAGAGACAGAGCATGTCCATGCAGCACAGTTTCTTTCAATTCCTGACCACCAGATGAAAGAGTTACAGCAGAAAACTGCAGCAGATCCAACATTGCAATTACTCAAGAAGGTAATTTTAGATGGATTTCCAAATTCCAAAGACAGTCTACCTGCAAGCATCCACCCATATTTGGTATTCGAGATGAATTGTCTGTAGTCGATGGTATCATCTTCAAAGGGCTACGTTGTATTATTCCTGTGGTTCTCAAACACAAGATTATGTTGAAATTGCATGAGTCACACATTGGGGTGCAAGGATGTCTTCGGAGAGCTAGAGAACTAGTCTATTGGCCAGGTATGAATGCTGAACTCACTGATTACATTAGTAAGTGTGACATCTGTCTATCATCAAGTACAAGTCAAGCTAGGGAGACCCTTATTCATCACGAGATTCCAGACAGACCCTGGAAGAAGATTGCCACTGACATTTTTACGATAGACGGTAAAGACTTTTTGTGTACAGTCGATTACTATAGCGGTTATTTTGAAGTAGACCCATTAAGTAGCAAAACAAGTAAAAGTGTAATTTCCAAGATGAAGAAACACTTTTCTACTGATGGAATTCCTAATGAACTTTGTAGTGGCAATGGTCCCCCATTTAACTCAGTTGAATTTGCTAACTTTATGAGATTTGCAGGAACTAAGCACATCACCAGTTCACCATTGCATGCTCAGAGCAATGGAAGAGCTGAAAATGCAGTCAAGACAGCCAAGAACCTCATGAAGAAAAGCAAAGAGGCATGTATGGAGTATTTTATCTCGTTGCTTAGCTGGAGAAACACTCCTACGGAAGGCATGGATATGTCCCCAGCTCAAAGAATGTTTGGACGAAGAACTCGGACACAGTTACCGACTGCTGAACCATTACTAAAGCCACAACCAGCGCCAGTTGATGTAAGAAAACAATTTCTGACAAGGAAGGAGAAACAAGCATCCTATTACAACAGACAGACAAAGGAGCTTCCAACGCTGAAAGAAGGTCAAGTGGTGCGAATTACCCCTCAACCAAATGATCGAGAGAAGAAATGGATAAAAGGTCAGGTAACAAGAGAAGCGGGTATCAGATCTTATGAAGTGATAACTGAGGATGGCAGGCAGTTCAGGAGAAATCGTAAACATTTGCGTGCTTCTAAGGAACAGTTTTATCTGCCAGACAAACAACCTCCACCTGTGTCACCATCATCAACACCACCTCCATTAACGCCGCCAAAGTTGCAGGTCCAACATGTTCCGCAGCAGCCCGTTGTTAGCCCTGGGAAAGCCATCAGTAGAGTGACAAGGAGTGGCCGAGTATTCAAACCGCCAAGTTGCCTAGACTAGGATTGGATTAGTCCGTTATAAGGCTGAGAGCATTGCTTGTCAGTTCATTATGAACTCTTTAGAAAAACAATATAGATTATTTGGAACCCTATTACATAGGCACACATATTATAGAACTATTTTTAAAGAAAATCTTCAAAAAAAAAAAAGGACTTTTAGGTATATTTCTAAAGGAAAAGAAAAAAAAGGAAGGATGTAACGTTATCTACATAGGTGCCCTGTGTAACTTGTGCCCCGTACATGATGGGTAATGTAGTTAGGCCCCTACAAGTTGATCTTTAGTTTCTGGTCCGCCGCCCGCATCCGTTATTTGGAAAAGATTATTTTAGGACTATTTTAGTGTTAACAATAAATTTCGAGTACTTGAAAATTTTCGCCATGGATTATATTTTCTGCAATGATAAATGTGCCATCTTTTCACCAAAAGCGCTAATAACATGAAGTATTTTGTGTGAATACCGCTGTGGTATAGTTCTGTGTTCTCTTTTGGGCATCATGAAGCCATGGTTGGAGTATTTTAATATTAATTAAAAAAAAGGTAATTTAATATCTTATTTAAAATCTTTATGATCTGTCATGCATGTCGATTTTTGAGTAACCTAAATCAAGTTTTATTGTGATTTAATAATATTTTCATACAACTGGCATGTCAAGGAACGAATTCGGTATAGCAGGAAACAAGCATGAAAAACAAAAAGGTTTTCAAAATGTTTAACACTGTTTGAGGTTCAATACCTCAATATATTTTATATACAGCATTTTTGACAGGGAAAAATCAAATATTTTTGTAGCAGGTGTAAAATGAAATTGAATTTATATATCTTTAAATGTAGTTTGCGTTTTGCAAGGTATTAAATATTGAAAATACTTCATGTATATCAATTATTTTGGTCCTAGAGATTTATGCTGTATTGTTTGCCATGATATAGTGTTGAGGTGGGCTCAAAAAAGGCATATATACTGTAGCAAAACAACACCATGTCATTCAGTAAAAAAGGTGCACAGTAACAGTGGTTTACATGTTACAGCCCTTGTCTGCCCTATACAGTAAACAGTGAAAGCCCCCCTATTGCTCTGTCAATAAAAAATATATTGCAATTGCTTTGATAATTTATTGTGAAAACATTTCACTCAAAGTAAACATTTTATATTCAGGATGTCATAATATTACGAGGGCAGCAGCATGACACTTGTAAACTGTAGTATAGTCAAAGAGAAAAAGCACCAAGTGCTTTATCCATGGACAGTCACTAGATGTTCTACAGTTGTTACTGTTCGGGAATACTACAATAGCTTGAAATTGAATCTTTCAGAGGAAGTTCTTTGTGGACTGCAGTTAACTAATGCATATATTGGTAATTCAAAAGTGTCACTTGATAGAGTAGATCTTGACCTTGATTTGCCAGAAGCTGTTGGAGTGTTTGGTCCATTCGTCAAATACCAAGTCGCAGAGGAGAAGTGTGATGATCAGAATAAACAGTCAGGTGCATCGGCCTTTGAAGTATTGATGAATAATCAAAGAGCTCTTTCCCAACGTAAACTTCCAAAAAGAGTTGAAAAACAAAACAAGACAAAGAAAGATATACTTTACAATGACGTAATTGCTCTTTTTGAGGAACAGAACCTGGCATGGTCGAGTTCTGAAGTAGATTCATCGGGTGTTGCTTTAGTTCAAAACCTCGTAGATTGTCTCTGGTACATTGACGGCCATCACAGCGTCTTGGGAAAGCAAGGCTGTTGTGTCCCTGACATTTTTAGTTCATTTACTGGGTACAATCTTCCTCAGGCATCAAAACATCGGAAACGCACAATTGAAAACATGTCTGCTGCTTCTATTTCGGCGATTTCATCTTCCTTGTTTGGATGTTTACAAGCTGAGTATTGGAAGCGTTCACATTTCCAAACTTTTAAGAAGCATGTCGAAGATCTAGCAGGTTCTTTGGCTCAGTATGGTGACTACCTTGTTTCGAAAAACAAGCGAATGAAAGACGTGCACAATTCCGAAGTTCCCGTTCGCCAACTTTCTGAATCGTTGTCAGTGGAAATTGTAAAAGCGTCTGCTGTTCGTTATCCATGTTTTTCTAGCCTTGGGGAACGTCTGAATGACATGCAGCCATATCAACAAATTTTCCTAACCGACCTCTGTCCTGAGGCTCCTCGACAACGCTATGAATACGTGCAAAAACTTCAGCGTGGCCTGGACATCCCAGTCGTGATTATGACCTTTTCTCCGGGAAACAATCGTGGTAACTTGCACTTCATTTGGAAATATTGTGGTAATGATGGCATGGAAACTATATTCCAAAAAAGCATTGCCGTGGTTGAATCTATCAAGCCTCAGCTTCCGACATACCATACCCGTGCTATGCGCAAAAACTTGTTTTCCAAGTTTGGAAGAATTTCTCCCCAAGTAAAACCTGCTGTCCTGAGGCACTTTTACCGTGATCTCACTGGGGATAGCTCTGCTTCCTCAAACCTTACAGAAGAAGAAATTGATAACAGAGTTTGCCAGGTTTTGGATATGGAACCTGAAGACCCACAAACGTTAATTGATCTTCGCGGTTTGAATTCTTCCACAGAGCGTGCAAAATATGACGTTTTCTGGGATCATTGTTCTCAATACTTGAACGAAGGTGTTGGCACTGCTGTTGATGATCGTCGTCACTGTGAAGTAGTACATCTCGCACAAGCAATTTCAATCCGAGACCTTCGAGAGCAAACTAAACTACGCTGTCCAGAAGGTACTGCAATACCGTCAAATGAATGGCTCCGACTCCAGTTTTGTCCAAAAACAAAGCACTCCAAGGTTGCATCACAGTATACTGGTATGTTTCTTTGCTATTTTACTGTTGTTTCTTTGCCTGTTTGTCACAAATACATTGTATCCTGCATTTTAAGTCTACGTCATCTACTTCTTTGTACCACTGAATTTGGCTCTCTTTTATCCTGAAAATCATAAAACATTTTAAGTATAGGATAATTATATTTATGTGAACGTTTGCTATACATAGACATACAGAATATATTAGTGATCTCTTTTGTGTATCTTTCCAAGGTCGCCTGAAGGTCAAATACATGATACAAAAGAGGCAGTGGAGGAAAGATCATTGTGATGCCCATTATGCAGCTGCGATTTTCCGGTACAAAAGAGAGTTGGCTGTCAAATTTCGTGAAGTTACTACGCTTGCTTGCCTCGATGACGCATCGTATAGGTGGGGGAGCCAGGTTTCCCTGTAGCAGCTGCAGAACGAGGTCGCAGAGTGTTAGTGCGTGCTGGCGCATTCATTTGAAGTTGGCGACCACGATTTACAAAATTCAGCATGGTACCATCTGTTACTCTGATTACGAACGACATACCAAGTGCCTGGAAGATTCTTGGTATCGCGGACAAGTGATTGTTACACTAAAAGAAGGGGCATTTGAACCATCGTCACCTCTACGTCATGCTGCAGAGCTGAAGCAATCTCTTCACCAAGAAAATGCTGCACAGAATCCAATGCTGTGCTTGTATACAGACGGAGGACCGGATCACCGCATCACCTACCTTTCCGTGCAAGTGGCGCTGATATGTCTATTCCTATCACTAAATCTTGATTATTTGTTAGCAACAAGGACGGCGCCTTGCAATAGCTGGAGAAATCCTGTTGAACGTATCATGTCAACATTGAATCTTGGTTTACAGTCCGTTGGTCTCATGAGGGAAACCGGAGACGAAACCTTTGAAAAAGAAATGGATAAATGCAAGAACATGGGTGACATGCGTGAAAAAGCTTCAAAAAACGACAACTTTCGCACTGCTTCCCTTGACTCTGTAGCTCCTGTTAAAGTCCTGCTTAGTCAAGTATTTCAAAGGCTTGAGCTGAAAGGGAAATCAATCAAGATGAATACCGCTGTCGCCCAGACTGATATTGATGCCTTGTGGCAATCACTAGCTGCCATTGAACCTAACTGCCCCGTATCTGATCAGGTAAGTCTAATGCTTTCACAAGTTTACAAGAAACTGTTAATTAATAGCGAGCATCAAGCTCACTCTTGTATACAGTAAAATAGTTATGAATTTTTTATATGTTATTTATCACCTATTTATTAATTATAAACCTGAAATAACATGTGTTAAGTATTTATCCAGTACCTTAATGAGACATGCATTCTTGATTATTTTTCAGGTACGAAAGCAGTCTTGCTTGAAAGGTCTACCGCAACTTTCGAAGTTTATGGATCACTGCTGCCGCCGACATCACTATTTCTTTGAAATTAAGAAGTGTGGAAAGGACGGATGTGATATTTGCAAACCCGTCCGCCTTCCACAAGACGTATTTCAGCAAATCAAGCCATTCCCTGACCCAGAACCAGGTGCAGACGACCACTACAAATCCTTCGAGCAAATCTATGGCAAAGAAACCACTGAGGAATTTCGCCCGTCTTTTACGAAGAAACCCAAGAAGAAGCGAACGCTGCCATTTCATGGGAAGCTGCAGCATGTGCGTAATGCTGACTTGATGTTGGAATGTGAAGAGTGTGGAATGTGGAGACTGGTATATGCCAAGCGGAAACTGAAACCATCGGAACGTAAGAGCTTGGAAGATGCTTTAAGTGGGACATCCTTTTCTTGTGGCTCACCACTTCAAGAACTCGACTTGTCTGCTGAGCTAGAACAAAATGTCTATGTGCGGGAGTTGAATCGTCACGACCCCATAGAAATTCTGTACTACACCGCAAAGTACGAACCTATCTGCATTTACTGTGGTGAGCCTGAGCCTTTACTGCAGCGAATCTATACCCACAGTGCAAAGACTGTAAAGACAAAGAACCGATTGCCAAGGCTAAGTAGGCCGGCCGGCAGCTCGCATAGTTGAGTTATTGATAAACTGTGTGCTGTTTTTGCCGTTTCTGTTAATATTTTAACAGTTGCCTATTATTTTCATTGAAACTCTGAGACAATGTTGGTTATATTTATATATCACTATATTTCAATGAACACTATTTAAATTGATAAGAAA